GCTCCCTGCCCCCCCGCAACCAGGCAGCCTGGGAGGCCGAATTCGCGCTCTACCGCGCGAGCCCGGAGTTCAAGATGTTGAACTCCCGCATGGATGTGGAGGAGTTCAAGCAGATCTACTGGATGGAGTGGACGCATCGTCTTTGGGGACGGGTCGTGGGGATCACGTTCCTGGTGCCGACGGTGTACTTCATTGCGCGGAAGCGGGTTAGTGCGGGTATGGCGGCGCGGTTGGTGGGCATCTGCGGGTTGATCGGGATGCAGGGGGTGATAGGGTGGTGGATGGTGAAGAGCGGGCTCAAGGACGACTTGCTCGAGACGGGCCAGCACCCGCGCGTGTCGCAGTACCGGCTCGCGACGCACCTGGGTGCGGCGTTCGTGGCGTACCTGGCGATGCTGCACAACGGCCTCCAGATCCTGCGCGAGCACCGCCTTCTCCGCGACCCAGCTGCGGGTCTAGCCCAGCTCATCAACCTCAACTCCCCGCACCTCGCGCCCCTCCGCCGCTCCGTCGCGGGGCTCAGCGGGCTTATCTTCCTCACCGCCCTCTCCGGCGCGCTGGTCGCGGGTCTCGATGCGGGGCTAGTCTACAACAACTTCCCCTGGATGGGGCAGAATATCCTCCCCCCGAAACGCGAGATGCTGGACCCCTTCTACTCCCACACGCCTGACGACCGCGACCTCGTCTGGCGGAACATGTTCGAGAACCCGGTGCTCGCACAGCTGGACCACCGCATCCTCGCCACCACGACCTTCTCGGCCGTGATGGCGCTGTGGGCTTACACGCGGTATAGCCCCGCCGTGCGCTCCCTCCTGCCTCGCTCTGGTCGGCTGGGTGTATTGGGCCTAGTGCACCTGGTGAGCCTGCAGGTCGTGCTAGGGATCTCAACACTTTGGTACCTGGTCCCCACGCCCCTAGCCGCGGCGCATCAAGCAGGTGCCCTCGCGCTCTTATCCGGCGTGGTAGTCCTGGGAAGTAGAGTGTGGGTGCCCCAGCGGACGCTGCGGCTGCTGCAGAACGCGGTGTCGCAGACCTCGGGGAGGCCGATCCCATCGCGGTCGGGCGTAGAGGCCATGATGCCGGCGCCGAGGCGGCAGGCCGGGGCCATGTATTACAGGAAGGTTGTCTATTGAGATGTCCATGGCGGCGGAGTTTGGCTGGGAGGCATAGCGGGGTTGGAGGGTCGGGGCGTGGACTTGCGAGTCCAGGGAGTATTCGACTCTGATGATGTGAACACACATAAACGTACAGACAGTGTACACTAGCCCCAACACACTGGAAATTTATCCTAATCCACGGGCCAGAGCCAGAATGTGCAAAAAATCTCCAGGGGATCAATCCTCGTTCCATCACAACCAACTCCCTGCCCATGATCGTCCGTTCGTTCAGCGCCTCTTGCCACATGTCCGCCCGGTAGCTTGCGAGGATCTGCACCTCTTCCGCATACATGTAGCCAGCACAACGGAGAACCTTTGAACGACCCAAAACATCTTCACCCGTGTCCGGGGAGCTAACCTCCTGGTAGGAAGCAAAAAGTGAAACTGGTCAGTACGAGGGTCGAACTCGCGACCTTGGCGTATTAGAATGGGGATCCTATTAGCACCACGCTCTAACCAACTGAGCTAACCAACCGTGAGATTCTCAACGATGAATTTAATCTATACCGGCATGATTTTTCCTGCCCAATGGAGGCACCAAGATCAGCATCAATACATGCCATATCCGAAAGGCAGCGGCGAGATCACAACAACGTGTACAGCATACCAACCTTACAACCCAGACACGGGGTCCGCAATCTGATGGATACCCAAACAGCTTACTGTCGCATGTCTATTGCGTTCTTCGCGCACCCCCCTCAATGCCTCAAGACTCCACCTCCCCCTCGGCACCGACCCGATACCCACGCGCAACACCCGCCCTCCCCTCCTCCATACCCGCGCCCCTGATCCCGCCCTCCTCATTCCGCTCGTACTCAATCTCGTGGTAATCGCTGCCCAGACCCTGCCAAGTACGCTGCGAGCGTAAGAATTCTGCAGCGGGCGAGAGCGTGCCATTGATGGTTGCCACATCGCCCTTGGCTCTCTGTACGAGGGCGGAGCTCGGAGGAGCGGACGCCGAAGAGGCGCCGTCTGCGTTGAGAGCGCTGGGCGCGGCAGGAGCAACGGGCTTCGGACGACCCATGGGACGACTGTGCGAGACGTACTGGCCGGTCCGGAGGTCGAATTCGGGCGGCTCGTCGTCTGATGGCTGATCGTCCCAGTCTCCGCTTTCGTGATCCTGTACCAATGTGTCCTCGGAGACTCCACCCCGGTCCTCGGTTGCAACAGCTTGATCGATCGCTTGCTTCCGCTCCCTCCCCAGCAGCGCCCCGAAATCACCCACCCACTCGCCACCCCAGACTCTATCCGCATCGTCCGTCAATGCCACCTCAAGTTCGAACGGCGTGATAATCGGCCTATAGAACTCCTTGCTCTCGATCAACGAGCTCTCCCAACAGCCGATGACGACCCATCCGCCAATCTCGCTGAAGTTTGCCACTTTCGCCGCGTTGACTTTGCCCACCACGAAGACGTAGCTTTTCTTGCCCGCCTTCGTGACGAGATCCTGGCAGTGCGAGAGCGCGGCAAGGTAGTTCCGGACCGAGAGGGTATTGATGAGGATCCCGAAGACCGGGACAGTAGACAGGCGGGTCAGGAGAGCGTAGCGCCGGCGGAGGAGAGCCGCTGTGGAGGCCTCGAGTGCGCCCGCGGGATGCACTTGGTCCGTTGGGAGGATGTGAATGGCTCGGACCCGGGAAGAGAGGATGAGGAGGAGAGATGTCGGGGGGTCAGAGATATGGAACACGGCGTACTCCCTGAGCTTGTTGCCGTCCTCCTGCACGTCACGCGGCAGGGTCCGGTTGGGAAGCGGTGATGATGGATTGTGGATGATGGCTGTCTCGAAGACGTTTGTGTAACCTTCTGCACGGATTCGATCGGCTAGGGCCGGGAGGTGGTGATGGTAGGGTATGTCGGCCATCAGGCAGACCTTCTCCCCCGGGTCCGGGTAGGTGTGCTTGAAGCATCCCACTGCAGCGTCCAGATCCAGCGGCTGCGACGTGAAGACGTATATGACCGGCAGGCGACTCGTGGGTGACAAGCAGGATCTCCCATAGTGCACTACAACGTCGGCGTCCACGTGCTCAGCGGCAACCTCGTCTACGCAGCAGGCACCATACGAGGTGTCTGCTAGTATCGTGAGGCGTTCCTCGACGTCCTCCTGCTCGTCTGCTATCGCATCCGGCTTGCCTTTCTGCTCGTCGAGGCGAACGCTTTGCAAGTTTGCGGTGACAGCATCCGCCTCGGCAGGACACTCAATGGCCTCTGATCGCCGTCGTCGCGGCCTCTCTACTCGTAAGTCGTCCCTCAGCCTTTCAAAAACCCGCGGCGCATCGACGAGCATCTGATCCGGAAATTGCAGCGCGATTCTCTTCCATCTTCCGTCGCGGATCTCGCAAACAGTCCGCTTGATCTCATACTGCAGGTAGAGCTGCTCGTCAGACAACCTGTCGCCAGTAGTGGGGATGGCCGGTGTAGGGTCCTCAAATACATGCTCGGCAGGTGTCGACAGTACAGGCGCGGACATCGCCATCGTGAATGTCTGGCGGGCAGACAAACTTCTTGACAAGACGGCGAGATGTCCAGATGGAAGGCGGAGGTGTTCCGCGTCGGCGACTTGGCACTGTTTATCCCGCTGTTTACAACGCGCTTTCTCCACGCAACAACATCATAAGACAGACTTCAAGACTTGCACTTGCGATTGCGACGTACGAAAGCAGACATAAGGCCTCATCGCTAACCAGAAACGACATACCAAGTAGTCCAGTGGCCCATGAAGTAGTCAGTGGTCGGCCGGACGAAGACGACATGGCACACTCAGCCAAGTCACGTCTTCTCAACGAGCTCTCACGCAGCCGTATCAGCTCACCAAACGCCGACGAGTTCGAGACAGCCGGCAGCTTCGATATCCGGAACGAACAGCTCCTCCACTCCACGGTCAACATGGATGGTATCACGGACCAGCTGCCGATCCGCTACGATGAGCAAGCCAGCTACGCAGGCTCCGACGTAGGCAGCGGCAGTGCTGGCAGCACCGAGATGTCCATCGAGCTCGGGCGGGGTGTGAAAAGATCCACTCGCGATCACGACGCGGATGTGTCGTCCAACATTGCCCTCAACTTCGGCGGCGACAGCCAGTACGACTTCACTCCACCCGCTCGCCCTCGCAACCCTTCCAGGAAGAGTGATGATTTGCTCAGACGGCAGGCTTCCGTACGCAACGCTACCGAGACCGCGAAGGGCAACGATTCGATGCGGCGCAAATCGAGTGCTGCAAAGCAACGGAACATGTCGGAGACCCTCAAGCTCAATGCGGAGAGCGACGCGTCTTTGAACGGCGAGGACTTTGCTCAAGCTACTTCCATCTTCAATGCCCGCAACACGCGCTTCACACGCTCCCGCCAGACATCGATGGCCGAGCCTGTAGCGCCTCCGCCTTCGCGCTTCGTGAGCGCGCAGACCCAGGACAGCACGCCTCGCCGCCAAGCTGTTCAGAACCCGACTGTACAGTCAGTGACTTACACCAGCAATTCTTTCGCCCTGCCCGACCTGCCCAACATCACTGAGCTCGTGTCTGGCGTCCGCAGAGATTGCACGGCGGTCTTCAGTCGCGTCTCGAGCAAGCCTCGCTCCCGCTTCACTTTGGCTGGCAACTACAGAGCGCCGTCGCTGCCCGAGCACGCTCCTATCATGAGCGTGCCGATTCCCGACGAGGAGAAGGCTATATTCGCCTCGCTGGAGTTGCTCAAGGACCGCGTCAGTGGGCTAGAGATGGAGAAGGCCGAGGCAGAGAAGCGCGCAGAAGAGTACGAAGGCGAGATCATCGATCTGCGCAGCCAATTGCAGGCTGAGCGTCGTCGGCCTGACAGCGCTCTGGGCTCAGACGACGGTGATCGCGCCGCCGAGAAGGCGCGTTTTGAGAAGACGAGGCTGCAGGCTTCGCTCAAGGCGGCGCAGGATCGCCTGGATCGAGCGGAGCGCAAGATTAGCGTCAATGAGATTGCCGTGAAGAGGGTGGCCAAAGAGAGGGACGATCTCGTGACGCAGATCGGCGTAGCGTATTTCAATAATGAGGAACTGAAGGCGGAGAATGAGGAGTTAAGGGGACAGTATGAGAGTGCGGAGGCTGAGCGTGAGCATTTGCGGGAAGAGGTGGAGAGGCTGAAGATGGAAAGGAAGGCGCTGAAAGGGCAGGTCGCGCAGAGCAAGGCGCAGATACCGGACATCAGAGATTGCAGCCCTGAGCGGCCTGCGCCTGTCCTTCGCAGCAGGAAGGAGACCAAGTCCTCTTCCAGCAAAGAGCACATCGTGGACCGCGCGACGAGCGAGCGGGTTGAACAAGCGCACGAGGACATTGCGTCGAGGATCTCGCGCGAGGTGCAGAAGCATCGCAGCGGGGCTGTCGCTGCCAGAACGAAAGAGCGCGATGCAGCTCGTGAAGGCCAGAACAATCGTCCGCGGTCCAAGTCACGGCAGCGCCAGGGTCCTGGGGGCTTGCAACGCCGCGCCTCGTCTTCCAAGCGTACCGTCTCTGCTCCCGAGGCCGACCTGAGTGAGCCGGAGTCCACTGGCCAGGAGATCACGCAGAAGACACGCGAGACACTGAAGGACATGTACCTTCCCAGCCCCAAGAAGGTGGTCGGTAGGCGCGAGGATACCCGAGACATCACTGTCCTCAGCGACTTCCCTTCGCTTCACATGGCGGACCTGCGCAGGAAGATCGAGGAGGAGTTGATGGCCGAGAAGGCGGCGAAGAAGCAGCAGCAGCGCAACGCCTCTGCTCCCGAATCGCGTCGCGAGGAAGAGCAGGCACGCTCGAGCATGCCGCGCAAGTCCTCGCTGAAGGACCTGAACGCCGACCTCGAGAATGGAACCGGACGCTTCAGTCTGGGAGGTGTCGATGATGTCGTCAAGATTGCGAAGAGCGTCCGTGTGCAGTCGCCGCATACTTCCGATGCATCGCTTCTCCCGCCACCGCAGGAGGATGCTGTTGACCTCTCGATGCTGAGCAATATCAGCCGTCGGCGCCGGGGTACTGCAAGTCAGGAGGGCATGACCTCCGCGTTCATCATCCCGGACATCACGCTGCATGGCTCCCAGCCCTTCCCGACGATCACCGGCATGAACGCCGAGAAGTCTTGCATCGCTCATGTCGCCAGTGGCTGCACCGCATGCCATCCTACTCTCGATATGAGCATACCAACACCGATCCCCGTCACCGACCGCAACGCACCTCAGGATCTGGACTTCACATCCGCAACCATCCGCCCAGCCCAATCACCCCCAATCGCCCTGGCGACGGTGATCAAGACCCTTTCGGACGAGATCACGCATCTGAAGCTGCAGCTGCACGCCCATCAGCGCCGCTACCACGCGCACGACCCAGCGCTGTCGAAGCGGCAGCGGTTGTCCACCAAGGTCAAAGTCGAGAGGCTGACGGCGGAGGTCGAGAGGCGCAGCGATCAGGTGTACGCTCTGTACGACGTCCTGGAGGGGCAGAAGCAGCAACAGGCTGGCGTTGGGGAGGCCGAGGAG